TCGATTGCAAGACGTATTAGAATGGTCATCGGCACCACAGACTGGGCATTCGGCGATAGATCTGCAATATTTCGCTGGATGGCCAAATCGCCAGCAATTTCTACACTGTTGTGGTGTAGGGATCACCTTTCGAACTTGTAACCGATGTCCTGCTATATAAACTGAGGAATGGAGTTCTCGGCTGTCAAAAGTTAAACGAGCCACATTGCTAGGGTATCGTCTCCGCCCACGGGCAGGAAGAACGTAAGTGTCTACCTTGAGGATTGGGAGATCTTGGAGTTCCAGCTGTTCTAGAATGTCGGTGCCACATGTCTGGAAATTTTGTTGAACTATGGTATGGGGCAGAATGACGGTACCACTACAAGAATTGAGGGAATGATGTTTTTCAAGAGGGACAGGAACAGTATCGATATGGGAAAGACGAGAGAGCTCATGAGCCTGGGTAGCATTCTGTACGGTAATGATGCGCGTACCGCTCTTAAGAGCATGAAAAGAAATATCTTTACCAACATGGCGTAGGAGTGCCTTGCCAATACTATGGTCAGAAAGATAGGCAGTAGAGGAAGTTGGTCGTAAAGTGAAGAATTTAGTCCACTTTTCAGTCTGAAACTGAGCGTGGAAAGGTAGTGAAGGACGTGTCGATCGTTTCTAAGAACGAGAAGGTGGAGAAGTATCATCAGCAGGTAATTGTCGTTGACGTTTAGGCGTGGGACCAGAGTTGGTCCGACGTGGAACGGGTCGGCAATTTGAAAATTGCCGCACCGTAGAGGGAGAGGCCGGAAGTATAGAGGAGAGCGAAGGTCCGATAAATCGAAGGAGTCAGTCGAGGCCTCAGTACCTGAAGCGGGCGAGGAAACAGCACCGGCAATAGGTACAGAGGCATGAGGAATGTCTGAAGAGTGGTCCAAAGACGAGGCGGGGTCAGAACGGGGTGCGGTATCAAGAAGGAGCCCGGGGGTACCAGGTTCATGGACTAGGGCTGCCATGGTTAGCTAACTTTTCTTTTTGTTTTTAAGAAAAAAAAAGAAAATAAAAAAGAAAAAAAAAGGTGGGACCGGGGAGGGATAGGTCCTAGGAGGAATGAAAGGGCCAGAAATCTCCCTCCGCGCCCAAGAGGACCTCAGCACCGCAAGTAGTGCAGATGCAGCATGGAACCCGTGCCATACCCTACCCATCATGCTAGTAAACTAACAATCCGGGATAGCAACCTCACATCTGCCGAGCTACCTCGGTGGACAAAAGAGAGGGCGGCCGGATATCCGCCACAAAGCATACCGCCTTCGGCCACCACCCCCGGAATCTGAAAGGTGGCTTCCAGAGATACACTCGTTGCCCGAAAGACACCCAAAGCTACTCCGGGATACCGGAGAGGGATCGGGACATCCCCAGGCGATCCAGATTCCACGGCAAACTACGCCACCGCTAAGAACCTCAACGGAATGGGATGGACCCCGGTATCTTTCTCCTACCTAGGAACTAGCGCGCCTGTGGGAGAAATCCCAAAGGACAAAAAGAGGAAGGGCAAAAGGGAGGAGTGGGGAGGAGGAGGAGGAAAGGAAAAAGGGGAGGATGGGATAGGGGAGGGGAGATTGGGGAGTAATTAGGTTCGGTCTGAGGAAGAAGACCGATAGGTCTAATTCCTCAGACCAAGAGCCTCTTCACCACGCCAAGGAGCCCCCCCTTGAAGAGGTTCACTGCCTTGAGAGACCATAAAGCCCAGTTGTGGTTGAAGTAAATTGGCAGGTACTAGGCGAATGTTTCTTACTGCTGCTTTGGCAACGAGACTGCGAAATTAATCAGATGCAAGAGAAGTATAATACTTTGGGTCAGCATATGTTAGCTGCTAATCATACCTGGCGAGGAGAATCTAGCTGATTTCTTGTCTCAAGGTTTACCTTATGCTAAATTTGTAAATACTGTATCATGGTTTAAAGGACCGAGCTGGTTGGTAAATAAAGCTAATTGGCCTGTACAAAAGGCGTATATTGCTCTTTTTGAAATTACTGTGACCGCCACTCCAATAGTTTGTCCTAGTCGTTGATATAAATAGGCATTATTCTTTACCCAGACTAATCAATGTAAACTAAGTTGTTTAAATTTCTAAACAAGATGAATATACAAGTTTTCACATCCTCTTGAATATTGGATAAAGAGGGTACAGGAGGAAATCTATGGCACCGAGATTAAATTGATGGAAAGTAAAATTGTTATAGGTTCCATAGAGAAATTGGGACTATTAGAAAAACTATGTAATTAGGTGCAGAGGTAGATTACAAAATGCTGAAATTGGGTGATTATGTTAAACACCCTATCTTACTGCCAAAACTAATCTAACAAATTTAATTGTTCTAAATGCCCTTTAAAAAATGTAATGCAGGGTTTGGGTACAAGATACCTTAATTTGTTATTATGGAAATTTTTCTGGATTCCACAAGGATGGCAAAGTGTAAAAAGGGTGATTAAATCTTGTGTAATATGTCGCAGTGTGTATGGCCAGATCCTATATGTACCCAGGCCCCCACCATTGTCAATGAGCAATTTGAGTCGTTTAGCAACGAATTCCGCCCGGCTGCAGTTTTTGGAAAAATACTGCACATATTTTCCAGAAATACAGTAGTTATATGTAAATAGATGGCCATACTATATTTTAATAATATTTGTCAAAAAATGGGAAATTTTCTGTACCTGCGCCTTCGCAGGACACTTGCGACAGTTTTGAATTTAGAGTAACAGACATTGTTAATAATGTGAAGAATTTTTGTGCTCTAGAGGTTAAAATTGGGCTGACACCTCAAAAAGGAGCCGAAATTGTTGGATGTGCAGTCCTGCATAACTTGAGATATCAGGCGACAGGACAGGACAACTCCAGGAACCTCAGATAAGCTGTCTAATTTATGTTTAAATTCTGGCAAGTAAATTTTTTTCATTAAGTAGGCAAAAGGGGGGGGTCCTGTACAAGACATTAATCTCAGTCAAATTGGCGAGTGATATTAAGATACTCCTGTTATGTAAGTGTTATATAATTATTTTAGTTTTTAATATACGGGTCCACAAATTTATATTATTTACCAGAATTCCTGGTGTATGTATATTTCATTTATAATTAATAGGTCCAGAGCAACTTGTGGATATGACAGTGGTAGGTATCGAAGGGGGACTTTTTGCGACCTAGGTGTCCCAAATTCCTACTTGTCTATGTAACTGACAAATAATTATCTTTACCATTTACTTTTATGTATGTAACGAGATTTATACAAGTGAAAGCAATTTTCCACAATACATACTATTATATATACATATATATGTATTTATGTATATATATATAATTACATATATTACGAGATCAGTGTTCGTGTACATTTCGCCTGCTCTTGAGAATTCCTTGCATTGTTAAAATCTTAGTAAGGCTGATGCATGCAGGGGATGGGATGAAAAGCTGTAAGCCTTCTCCCTGAAAGCTGGCTTCCTTGGATCAAACGTCTAGCGCAAGCTGGGACGCCAAGGTCCAGTGTGGTGAGAATAAGGCACTGCGTACCTTGTTCCAAGGTTCGAGTCTCTTTCAGCCAGAGATCAGCGTTTGTTTATATAATATATATATATATATAAATATATATATATATTTATTCTGCAAAATATATTTGTTTAAAACCATTTCTCATGCTCATTTAAAATAGTTTTTTACCACTTCATTCTGGAACTTCTGGTGTTTTTTTTTTTTTTTTTTTTTTTTTTTTTTTACGCCATAGAAAAGCTTTTCATAGATCCATCTGCCGATACATTCACCCCTAATATCTAAGGACATTCACTTTTTGTTTTCAGTAAGTGAAATGCGCTGAACATGTTACACTTCATTTGAGGTTAGTCACAAATACTGGCATCCCTTCTCGACCAGCGAGATGTCAGTTCAGAGTATAGCAGTTCCTGGACCCCCACTGCTGTATTAATTATCCAGTTCAACCCCCCAGGGGGAAAGTGGCTCTTCAGGCATGGTAACGTCACACCTGCCAGCCTGGTTGGGAGGCACATTTGCTTTCCCATTTTGAATATTCTCTTGCTTTAAGTGGCTCTCTGCTCTGGTAACTTAATATTTTTAGTGTATAAATATTGTACGTAATGGTGAAGAAATATATGGTAAAGAGAAAATATCTACTATGTTTGCCTTGCCCTTGTCTTTCTCGGTTACTTGCAATATTCCTTATATTGTTTACAGTGGGGTGCAAGAGGCCTTTAATTGCTACAGTGGTTTCGTAATAAGAAAACTTTTGTCTAGTTTTTATTTACTCTCACCACCTTTCTTTTTACCTGTTCACTCAATTTCCTTTGATCTTACTCAAACTTACTTTTTTTACATGCCCTTCAAAATTTATACACCAGCCGTTGTATCCTTTCTTCAGGATCTTCCAAAAGAATTTGTCACAGGCAATGAGGAACTGTAACAACTCCCACTTTGTATAAGATTTATTATATTTTAATACTCTCCCGTACACCCCATTATTCAACTGTTTTTACAGGTTTCTCATTACATTATGTTAGACAACCATTGTAATGTTATACATACCTTTCTATTGTCCATTTTCAGTAAACTGATTCATATACATGATTTGTTATTGTTTGTAGCGTATAATCATCTTATGTGTTATGACTATTTATAGTTTGTCATTTATCGTGATGTTCTCGTCTTCCGTTTCGTGTGTGTGAGAGCTTATAAGTGTGTTTGTGTAGTGTGTGTGTGTGTGTGTGTGTGTGTGTGTGTGTGTGTGTGTGTGTGTGTGTGTGTGTGTGTGGTGTGTCATCGTGTTCTTGAGGTGAACCTTTTACACTCCATTTTAACTGATATTGTATCCTTGCACACGCACGTACGAAAAGAACTTGATAAACAGGTGCTAACAATACTCACCAACATAAATAACTCAAGCTACAAGATGTAATGTTATATACAACACAATCATCTTGAAGCTGCGACAGGTTACAAGAAAAAATCAAACCAGGGGATAGCTTACCTGCCACAAGCCCCAGTATCAGAAGTGCGGTAGTACAAGCCAGTGAGCGCATTATGATCAGGTCTTCACACGACAACACAACCAAACCCTGAGTGAGGAAAATGCTATAATATTATTTGTGCTGCTCTGTTTAAAATGAGAGAGTTAGCATTAATGAAAGGAAATCTGCGCTACGTAGCACCCATGGGTTACCCCCATAAGAATTATACTTATATATTAGGGAACAAGAACCAGAAGGAACAAGTGTGATAAAGTGCACCTTGAGACTATTTTTAAATATCGTAGAGCTGTTAGACGACCAGTGGTACATTACTTCTACTGACAATTATTATTGCTGCAGGCGATTTTTTTTACACTACTGGTATTTGTACCTCTAACAAGCCCTTGTACCTGGGTGGAGCACAAGGTACAATATATTATTTAGCTATCTTACATCCACGATTAATGACTTATTCCAACAAACATGGCTGGCCCAGCACTCTGGGATGATTGACCCAGAGTTCCCTTCCCTTTGTGCTTCTCTGAATAGTTAATGGTGCAAGTGGGACCGAAACGTAGTCATAACTTTCACTCTCCTATATGCGGGTTATCTGTATTGTTGCAGCCACGGCATTGTCATTTAATTCTTTACAGCGGACTCGTTGCGGTGGCTATTATACTAAAATAGTTCAGGTGGTTGTTTCCGTACTCACTGAAGTAGCTTTAAGATTTCCTTTTTATCTAACATTCAAATAAGACAATTTTTGCAAGCACTATAGACAGTGGTGTATTTATTTCTGCAGCATCAATATTAGTTCAATAAAGTTTTCTTCATACCACTTCAATTTTTCTTTAGTTTCCTTGTACATTATCAGTTGTATAAATAAAATTTATTACAAAAGAAATGGCAGAACAAAAAGGCTAGTTAGTTATTGATTGTCAAAGGCAGATGTCAATAGACACTTGGTCTGTGTGTGTGTGTGTGTGTGTGTGTGTGTGTGTGTGTGTGTGTGTGTGTGTGTGTGTACTCGCCTAATTGTGGTTGCAGTGGTAGAGACTGCTCCTGGCCCCGCCTCTTCACTGATAGCTACTAGGTCCTCTGCTTCCTGAGGTTTGTCATACCTCGTCTTTAAGCTATGTATGGTTCCTGCCTCTAGTACATCACTTGCTAGGCTATTCCACTTCCTGACGACTCTGACTGAAGAAATACTTCCTAACATCCCTGTGATTCGTCTGAGTCTTCAGCTTCCAATTGTGTCACCTTGTTTCTTTGTCCCCTCTCTGGAACAACCTGTCTGTCCACCTTATCTATTACACGCAGTATTTGGTATGTCGTTATCATGTTTCCCCTGACCCTCTTACCCTTCTGTCCTCCAGTGTCGTCAGTCCGATTTCTCTCAACCTTTCTTCATAGGACATACCCCTGAGCTCCGGAACTAGCATTTTTTGCAAACCTTTTGCACTCTAATTTTTTGACCTGCTTGCCAGGTGTGGGTTCCAAACTGGTGCTGCATACTCCAGTATGGGCCTGACGTACACAGTGTAAAGTGTCTTGAACGATTTCTTACTAAGGTATCGGAACGCTATTCTCAGGTTTACCAGGCGCCCATATGATGCAGCAGTTATCTGTTTGATGTGTACCTCCGGAGACATACTCGGTGTTATGGTAACCCCAAGATCTTTCTCCTTTAGCGAGGTTTGCATTCTTTGGCCACATAGCGGTCTTTGCCCTTCTCCGATCTTCATGACTTTGCATTTGACGGGGTTGAAATTAAAAGATGCCTGTTACTGGATCACGGGTCCAGCCTGTCCAGGTCTTTTTTGCCCTGCCTGATCCTCTTTTGATTTAATTTCCTCATTAATTTTAAACATCTGCGAACAGAGAAAAAATTTAGTGTATGAGTGCCCGGAAAAACCCGAAAAACTCTGGTTTTAAAACCCCCTTCCGGGGGTTTCCCTTGGGACGCGGTGGGGGCTTTTGGTTCTAGGGAATTGGATCTTTGTTTTGGGTTTCCCCTAAATTTGAGCCTGAATACCTTCCACACCCCCCCCAGGCGCTGTTTTAACCCGGGGGTTTTTAGCGCTCCATTTTTATTAAAATTAATTTCTGCTGAAAAAAATTCTATTTTCTGAAGAAAAAATTAAAATAGTGAACACAACCCAGTGATACAAAAAGTGCCTTTTCGGGATTTTTGGGACAGAAAAAAAAACCGCGGACGGGATGAAGACCCCCTTAAATTTCACCGATTATTTTAATTTGATAATGAGGTTTTAACATTGTTTTTTTTTCCCGTATTTAGGGTAAGAGTAATTTATTTTTTAATTCTTTCCGATGAGGTCCCCTGATCTCGGGGAAAGGCTCTTGATCCGGGGAAAAAATGAGTCTACAAAACCATTAAAAAGACAAACGGGATTGTCCGTAAACCCCAAATTTCCCTCTGACCGACCTCTATGGGTTTAGCGTTTTTTTCATAAAATAAGAGATTTTTAAATTGGTCAAAAATTGGGGCAAAAAAAATAGACAAAATAAGAGGAGCAAGGGGAATTTAGGTTGTTTTGATTTTTTAGAGTCGTGTTTCGGGGAAACGCGACTAATAACTTTGGTTCAGTAAATTTTTTGGGGAAAATTTTTAAAAGTTTAAAATACCTCTATTAACAAAAAACCTTCACGAAGGATCCATTCCATTTATAAAAAAAAAATTTTAAATTGTTACCATATGAAAAAATTAGGGCAGCACGTTTTAACAAATAATTTAGTGAAATCCGAGAATGTAAATTCCTATTTGCGAATACGACAAAAACGTAGATAAAGGGTCAGTCACAAAAATAAATCTTAAACCCTCAAAAAAAAAAAAAGTTTAAAAAACTTCCCAAATTTTTCGTTTGTGAAGGTGATTTCTCGCCCCTGGTTTACAAACCACCCCAAAAATTTCCCCCTTTAAAATTTTACCCCCTTCAACATTGGGTTGCCTTCCACCCCCAATTTCATGAGCATATTATTTTGTTTTAAATTTTGGGCCATTTTTAAATTTTGGTTTTTTTAATTTTTTCTTATTTAATTTTAAATTATGTGTAAAGTTCATTGATTTTGTGTAATCTTCGTAAGAGGTTTTGAGTATAAGTAGAGTTATCCGAATTTTTGGGGGAAAGTTTGAAAACGGGAAAAAAACCGGGTTTGATTTTGTTTTTTTCCCCAGGTTAAAAAAGGAAAACCGGGAAATTTTCCCCCCACCACGGGGAAGTCTTACGGTGGATCTCCTTGTCTCCTAGGATTTCTTTTAAAAATGTTGCGGGTTTAAGGGGGTGGTAAATCACACCCAAACCAAACCACCCACCCCCAAAACCAACCACCCCCCCGGGGGCTAAATCCCCGACCCCTGGAAAACCACAATTAGGGGAGTACGCACACCAAAACCCGCACAAAACCCCCCACACCACACACACAACAAAACAAAACCACACACGCCCCGCCCCAACCCCAAGCCACCCCCCCCACACAAAAACCCAACACACACACACACACACCCCACCACACACACACCCCAACACACCACCCCACACACTCACTCCACACCCCCCTTACACAAGTAAAGGGAAACGGGGGCATAAAGCTTCGTTAATGTTATAGCAGGAAACCCCAAATCTAAACCCAAAAAACTTTAACGTACAGTACATCAGGAGGAAAACAACAGGTAATCAGGCTGACAAAGGGAAAGGGGGGGGGGGATCAAAAGGAAACGCCCGAGAGTATGAGGGCCCCAAACACGAGATTCAAAAAAGTGTTCACGGGGGAAAAAACAGAAGGGACCCCAAAAAAGATGGAGATGGGGGGTACACCAAAAAGGGGTTGGGAAAAAATACCCCCAAAAACCGGGTGCTAAGCGAGTTTGGTTTAACCTAAAAGGCGATGGAGCCAGGCAATATTTTCTCCGGGTCCTAAAGGAGGGAACGGGGCTGATGGGTAAAAATTACAAAAAATCTTAAAACCACATCTTTTTAAAAACGGGGGCGGCTCCCTGAGGTATGGAAGACGAAAATGTAGCCCCAATTTAAAAAAAAAAAAAACCAGACACGAAGAAATTAAACTTCGGGCCCGGTTTTGTCACGGGACATGTTTAGTATGAAAAAGGCCCTGGTGAAAAATTAATGGGAAGAAGGTGGGTAGAGCAATAAAAAAGGGAAATTGGCTTATCAACGACGCTAGGGGGGTTTGGGACGGGAAATCCTGTGTCCAAACCTATTTGGGTTCTAGGGGACGGGGTTTGGCACCCCAATTTAAGACAATAGAAAGGGGGGGTAACCTGAGAATAGGGGTTCCCGTTCCCCCTTAATAAGGAATCGTTCAAGACACTGAAACATTGTGTAGGTTAGGCCTACTTTGGGGTATGCGCACCAGTCTGGAAACCCCCACCTGGTCAAGCACGTCAAGAAGTTTTGAGAAAAAAACAAAGGTTTACCAAAAAGGGGTAGTCCCAGAGCTCCGGGGAATGTCGTCGAGGGGAAAAAGGGTTTAGGGAAATCGGACTTTACGGGCCCCTGGAGGACAGAAGGGAAGGGGAAGGGCATGTTTTAAAGACATACAAAGGAAAAAACGGGGAAAAGACAAGGTGGAAGAGATTGGATTTTTTCCAGAGAGGGGGGCACAGGGCAAGGGGGGCACAACGGAAGTGAAGGGTAGAGAGTCACAGGGGACGTTAGGAAGTATTTCTTCAGTCATAGAGTTTGTCAGCAAGTGGAAAGGGGTAGCAAGTGGGAAATAGTGGGGGGCAGGAACCCTCATAGTTTTAAGGGAAAAGGTTGGGTTTAAATCAGGGAAAAGAGAGAGGAGGACCCAGTAGCGATCAGTTAAAAAAGGGGGGGGGCCGGGGCTGAGTTTCGGGGGGGCCCCCGCAAAACCCAATTTGGGGGAGTTTAAATTTGGTAAGTTCCCCCCCACACAAAACCCCCCCACACAACACCACACACACCCCAACCCCACAACACACACACACCTAGCCAAGCCACGTGAAGAAACTAGAGAAAGTGCAAAGGTTTGCAACAAGACTAGTCCAGAGCTAAGAGGTATGTCCTACGAGGAGAGGTTTAAGGGAAATCAACCTGACGACACTGGAGGACAGGAGAGA